TCCTGCAGTGCAAATCATGGTGACGATGATGATGATTAAAAGGGTGCCCACCACTTTTCCAGTCAGCCAGCAGCTGTTCATGCTGAAATGTTCTCCTCTGTTCCCCTGCCCGGGTCCATAGCCAGCGTTACAGACTTACCGGAGGGCAGACCGGGAAATCCACGGCCATGGTGTTGGTGACATAACTGAGGGAGCAGATGTTTGACTGCGCAGAGCATAAGCGACGGCTAATTAATTAAACAGAAAAATGCCTTTCTCAGGGTGTAACTCTTTAAGTTATTTGAAGTCCAGGAGACGTGAAAGGTGAGCTGCCGACAGAGAAGTCAGCAAGATGGCCGAGGAAGTGGGTGCTCCCTAGTCTGAGTGTAAAATGTCTGTGCTGCTTAGCGGCATCCTCCAGCTGGTGAATCTGTGCTGTCACGTTCCTGGAGCCATCCCCTGGGGACCCTGGGCCACAGGATGGGAGCGTGCTAGGCAGAGTGCCTTCATGAATGGGAAAAGGGGAAAGGGGAGATGCAGTGAGCTATCTTGGGCTTGCGCCAAGGACCCCCCCTCCCAGAGCAGGAGGAAGCGGAGAACAAATAGCTAAAGCAATCACGTCTGCACTGAGTTATCAGCTGACCACTGTGGACACTGTGTTGTGGAGGAAACAAGAATTTGAATCTGTGGAAGAAAGCGATCCACATCTACAGACCAGGGCTGGAGGGCAAAGTGACTGCCCAGTGCAGTGCCCATCAGCCAGAGGCCAACGAGCTGCCACGGGGGGCAGAAGGAGCTGGTCAGACCAGGGCAACGCTGCCTCGAGCTGGGATGTGCTGCCTCTCCAAATGAGAGGCCAGGAGCCTCCCCTGCGGCCATCGCCCTGCAGCCCTCTGGCTGCTGCTGTTCTCCCAGCTCTGTGGCTCCACAAAGATATCTAACACACAAAACACTTGTTTACTGGTACTGCATGCTCGCATTTGCAGGCAACATTTGGCTAACCAGTTCAGAGACAACTACTCATCCTTGTTTTAAAATTAACATTACCTCTCTTTTAGGTGTGGCTAATACCATATGTGACTAGTGGATTTGTCTGTGCAGAGAATAGCTATGGGTGGCACCAATGCCGTGTGGGACCAGAACATCTGCTCTCTGTGGAACGAATTGTGAATGGGGTTTTTTAGCTGTGTATGTGCACCAGTCCCCGAGGAAAAGGCCACCTCCTTGCTGGTCAGGTCTTCATTACCTGTGAGACACAGCAAATGCAGGGAGTGAGTGACTGCTCTCCCCGCGGGAAGGATGCTGACCGAGGCGGGAGAGAAAGGAGATGCGGGGGGAGCAAAGGCGGGGTGAGGGGACGGGGGTGGTGAGGACGGAGACTGGGTGGCCGAAGCATGGAGACACACCACAGCGCGGGACAAGACCTTGGTGGTCTTACCGTTCCCCCAGGCACTGGGAGCTGCCAGTGCCTAACGTGCTGTACAAGTGATCGATTCATCCAAAAACTGTTTTAATAAGGAAAAAATGTAACCTCAGTCCAAACCCAGATTGTGTTCGACCATGACTAAATAAGGAAACACAGTATTTCATAAATGAGTGTCCCACTGAAGAGGGCAGCTGCATGTACTGGTGCCACCCAACTCCCTTCAGAATCCAGAAAGCAGGTCCCAGATGATGTTCCCGGGATATTTTCTGCCTATTTCTGTCACCAGGCGATAACCATACCTCTGCATTAAGATAATGCATTTCTTACCAGCTCTTTGCTCCTGTCATATCACACAGGCAATCTATAAGATGGTTTCTTCTGTAATGAAGATGCCGGAAGATGAGTCAACACCAGAGAAGAGGACAGAGAAGATCTTCCGCCAGATGGACACCAACCGTGATGGTAGGCACCCTCCAGATGCTGGGGCGGCCGCCTCTGCCCCCATGCTGGGTGGCTAGGGTGTCCTGCCCACACAGGACGATCCCTCAAACCCACCACTCCTCCTTCAGCTGCCCAGGCAAAGCCACCACCATCCATAGCCAGCGGGGTGCCGGCAGGCAGGGCTTTGCCTTGCGGGGTTGCTTTCCCAGGGATTTTCCATGGGGTCCCCCAGCTTCCTTCCACCATGCTTGTCCAGAAGCTTGGCAGGTGTGCTGCAACCCACCACGTGCACTAAGCAAATGTGTTTCTTTTCTAGGAAAGCTCTCTCTGGAAGAGTTCATCCGAGGCGCCAAGAGCGATCCATCCATAGTCCGTCTCCTGCAGTGTGATCCCAGCAGCGCCGGGCAGTTCTGAACCCATTCTTTGGATGAATTATGTATCTGCTTTTTTTTTTTTCCTTGCCAAACAACATTCATGGTAGTGTTGCCTCTGTACGGCCAATTATGCCTTCTTTTGTGGCATCTTATAGCTTCTTTTGTTGTGGATTGATTATAAGAATGCTGAATTGCTCTTAACAATTTGTCCAGAGCACGAGCAGTACTGTTTTAAACAGATATTGTGGTGTTATCATTGTTTTAAAGATTTCATTTTGTTTTTTGTTTTAATGTGTCTGTTTTGGAAAGTACGAGTTGAGAAGGAGGAAACCAACAACAAAACCCTTGGCAGCAAGACACACTGACAGATTTTTAGATTGCTGCTTTAGTAGCTGAGTATTCACCCGCAGGACCTGAAAGTGTAGTAGAGGTTGAACCAAAGGGGTTGTGATGGGTGGGGTAGGATTCACCTGGAACCTCCTCTCCTGTCCAGGAGGCACTAGTTAAGGTCAAAGACAGGATCGAGAAGAAGTACGAAAGTGCAAAATGGGTGCGGGGTGTGTCGTCCGCACCCCTGCTCCTACGCCTCATTGTTTCAATGCTGTGAACATTTTCCAGGTTGTGAAGGAGAAGGGGAAAAAACTAAGATGGACAGTTTTTCCTAGGTTTACAGTGTTTGATTTCACGTGGCTTTATCTGAAAATTCAGCAATTTGCAATCCTGATCCCCAAATCCACAACTGACGATACCTCTTGCCGTTTGGGATCAGCAAAGGCAGACACAGATACGGAAAACTGGGTCTTGACAATGAATTTAAGGGAGATACATGTTGAATGTGAAATTTTCAGGTTAGTAATAAAGCAGTTTCTACTAAGGAGAGTGGGCATTCGTGTGAGGAACCCACGGGCACGCAGCTCCAGCTGAGGCACGTCTGCTGTTCTGAATGCTCTTGCGTAGTATGAAGGTTTGAGGGTGTTTTTGTCTCTCTCCACGTAGCTAACAGAGTTTCTGGGCCTGCCCTTAGGGGGAGGCTGTCATCAAAACTTGTTTTAAACATAAAATTGTAGCATTTATATTTCACTTATTTTAGTAAAGTTCGAAAAATCTGTACTGAAATGAGGAAATGGTACGCTTTATGGTATATTTATATATATAAAAATTAAAACAAAAAAAAGATCAGCTCTTGAGAGAAATGTTGAATGTTTATCTTTTCGCCTAGATGCAGGAGTTCTGAAATTTGCTGCTGCAAAACTTTATCCTTTGGTCAAAGTTGCTGTATGCAAAGCTAGTACACATACGTGGGATTTCTTAGGGACTTTACAAGCGCTGCCGCAACGGAAAAGCTTTAGTGACAGGAGGCATTATGCTGACTAAATTGGCATTAATCTGTCATTAGGTAAAGTCTGCTCTGTGATCCTGTTGCAGAGGTACCCATGTAGGCAGTGCGCAGCGTTGGGAGTTCGTGAGCTCGTTAGAGTAACCTTTGCCTGACAGGCAAGGTTGGCGTTTTGTCAAGTGACCTTGTAGACGCTAATCCCCAGTAGCCTTAATTTAAAATAAACTAAGTAAAATAAGTCTGCTTTGCAGATGATGATTAGCTAAGGACTAATTAGAAGTCATGAACAAGCAGCCGAGTATGAATAATTTTTTGTTGAACACCAGCTAGCATGTACAATAACTGAGCGAAAAAATCCTAGACTTAATTTTTCCACACCATTTGCTTTGCCAGGTGTGAAGTGCAGAGCATATTAAAATAAAATAAAAATAAATTGAAAATAACATCGCTAATCAGTTGTACTAAAATTATTATAAGTAAGTGGCTAATTACACTCGATAAATATCTTCAGGCACACACCTTTGTCTCAAATCATTACAGAAATCCAGTTGATGATATATCCCCATTATATTAATCAAAACATCGAGCAGAAGTGTGTGTGGGAAAATGAGAAAGCAAAAGAGGCCCAGCCACGGACACAAACAGATTTCAATACCTAGCACTTTTAGCTGTTACAAGCATCACTGGCAAATTTTGCACCACTTCTTCCAGCTGATGGAAATGTTCCCTATCTCTTTCTCCCTAACCTTAGTTAGACATCCTGTGCACAGATCTAACCCTTCAAAGGAGATCTTTGCCTGCCTTCTTCAAGGTAATCTTCTGCTTTACCTGGAGAGGTTCTGGCCCTCTCTCCCGTATCCATCACCTCATGCAAAGCCATGTTCCCTCCTGAGCGCTGAGGGTTGGTTTT